CCGCAGGTCTGGGATGCTCCGCAGTCTCCCCGCTGGCACAGTGCACACACCTGGCAGCAGCAGCTCTCCCCGACCGTTGGGAAAGCTTGATTACAAAAGGAGAAGAGGGTAATTAGCTGCTCGGCAAATCCTGCACACCCACCACTTCCAGTATGAGTCTGCACAAGGCCAAGCTTTCCAGCCGGCTGCCAGCAGGGCCGGCCGCAGCCAGCAGACTCCCTGACCCCAGCCCTCTCCCTGCACCGGCCTTCGCCCAGCTGGAGCAAGCGGCTTCTGCACGCCTGAACCTAAATGCCCATCCTGCCCAGCAGTGCTGCCAGCAGCGGGCTAAAGCAAGCCAGTCTTCGTCCCAGAGCAATTATTCCTGGGTGTGTAGCCCAGCTTTGCCTCGGAGACGTGCACAGCTCCACGAGCAGCCTCAGCACCTGCCTACAGGTGCTCGGGGGCTGTAAGAGCCCCTCTCCCCACCCACCCCTGCCAGCCCCATCTTGTGCAACATCAATGAGCTCAACCAACACAGGGCAGCTGCTCTGCAAAGGGACAGAGGGGTTGCAGGAGAAGGGCATGGCCATCCCTGAGCTCACACCGCGGTGCCCCACTTGCAGACCCAGCCTCGGCACTGAGCTCGGCACATCCGCATGGATAGCAGGCCTCTGTAAACCTCCATAAACGGCCCAGGAGCATCCCAGTGCTGTAGGAACCGGCAGTCAGCATGCCCGCCGCGCTGCTGTACCACAGCAGGGACAGAAGCCAGGGAGAAAGAGCGAGGTTTGTCCCAGAGGGCAGGTAAGGAAGTCTGGAGGGGCCACACTCAAGTCTCTGCTCTGCCCAGCTTGCCGGGGCGCCTGCTGTCACAATCACTGGGCAGGAGCTGGGCACCCCACGCCCGCTGGGGAGCAACGACTTCATACAGCCTGCCCAGGACACCAGCTAGTCCCGCACAGCCGGGCACCTGCCCGCGCCCCCAGCCTGCATGGCAACCCCAGAGGTAACCTGCCACGGGCACCCCCTCGCTTTCCTTTTACTTCACTCGGGTGCTGCCAGGAGCGCCTGCCAGCCGCGACCTGGGGCTGCGCAGGGACACACAGACTGAGTGACCTGAGAGACAGGAGCATATAATGGCCTGGTAACCTCATGCGTAAACTCTTCTCCTTTCCTCCTCCACCTACAAAACCTCTATTTAAAAACAACCCGGTGCAACGCGGAAGAGACAGACAAAGAGCGGGATGGCTGTGGTTCCTCTTATCATCAGGAGGGGAGCGGGAAAAATCCTGCTCTGTCAGTCAGTTCACTCCTGATAAGCTATTTTGTGACAGCAGCTCTGCAGGTGAGTCACCCTCCAGTGGCAGATGCTCAGGAGATTATTGCAGGTGATGGTGCTGCTGATAGACCGGTGTTATATTACAATACAAATCATAATTCCTGTTTCACAACTCCTGTTGCGGGTTTTAAGGAGTGCTTGGGCGGTCCTGCCCCAGTGTTAGCAGAGCACGGGCAGAGCAGCACAGGCACAGGGCAGCGGGAGCATCGCCGGCCCGGGCTCCCTGGGTATCGGGGCACCCACAGCCTCCCCGTGTCCCGGACTGGAGGATATTTGCCGGGTTTCTGCAGGCAGAAGACCACGTCAGAGCTGGATGAGCATGGTGAGTTACCGACAGCTTTGCCCACCGCTCTGCCCCCCCCCGCACGTCAGCCCTCAGCCCCTCGCCCCGGGCAGCTGGCACCCCGCACACCCCGCCGCTGGCTGCACTTGCAGCCCAGGCCTGCCAGGAGCAGTTGACTGGCGATGAGGCCCCAGGCTCAAAGGACCTGCTGCTACCTGGCCCTTGCCCCCCGCCGCGTCCA